CTGCTGGGGATCAGAAGGTATCTATGCAAGAAACTGCCCCGTCCCACTGGTGATGCTTTACCACCACCTTTGTAGATCTTGGTCCTCAGCCACCCACTGGTGCAAACTGCACAAATGCTGAGAGGCAGGAGTGCAGCGTACCCTGCTCCTCCTCCCTGCCCCCCCAGCTTACCAAGGGGGTTGTAGTCCAGGTTCAGCACACGGAGCTGGGAGCTGTGAGCCACTGCAATGGCCAGGCGTCCCCAGCCTTTGCTTGTGACACCTGGGTTGGCGCTCAGCGTTAGCTCTTTGAGGCCTGGAGAAGAGAGAGAAGCCAAACCAGAGCCTTAGGGTCACCAAGGCAGCCTCAGGGGAACTAACCAGAACAGCCTTGGGTCATGTCTTCTGTTCTCTGACAGGCTAAAGGGTATGGCTTGCTCTGACAACCATCATCATATGTTTCACTAAACAGTGATATATTTCACTGCTTTCAGCAGTAGCTCTTCATTCGCCCATGCTGTGACCGCCCCATTTCTCTTCTCCCATCCTGAGTCCTGTTTACCCTAAATAAAATGGAAACAAGTAAGGTGTGTGCAAGATGACTGACAAGGAGAAGGAGGTGGCGTGAGGTGACAGGTTGGAGAGAAGATAACAGGGACAGTAGGCTCTGAAGCTGAACCTGGGGGGTTATAGCCAGCAGAGATAACAGCATCAGTAGCACTGTAAGCACACTCATAGAAGGTGTTGGGGAGAGGTGGAAAGCACTTTGTGAGTCAGGAAAGCGGGATGGTGTTACCTCAGCACATGCTAGCTCTCAGCTTAACTAGCCCACAGGCCTCTGACCACCAGTGATCACTCCCTGCAAAGATGTGAGCCTTGGCACTAAGGTTATTACCATGCAACTACACACCCATGGAGTGCACCCACAAGCAGGGACAGTTCCCAGGCACTGGCAACAAAGGCAAGTGCCGAGGTGGGGGCACACCATATATTTATCTATGGTCATTTATCAACACACAAATGCAAAATAACAAATTCAAAGCCCAAGCTGTCCCCTCCTCCAGTTTCAAATGCTCCTGTCATGAATGAGAAGCAACCTGTTGGTCCCTGAACTCCAAACTGTCAGCAGGGCAGATCAATAGCAGAAAGTCCACGCCTGCCCAAGGGAATTGCTCCTCTGTTGCTTGGCTTTTCTGCTTTACTTAAGTTGGGGAAAGAAATTCCTCAGCCCAGGCAAACGAAAGAGCCGGCCTCCTCCAGGGCTGAGGATTTAGTGCTGTGTGCATCTGCTCTGTGTGAAAGCTCCACCGGTCATTGTGCAGCCCGCAGCCCCTGGTGCTTACCGGACTTGGCCCCGTCAGGTGGCAGGAGCCCACAGATAAGGTTGATGCCTTCATCACCCAGCATGCAGTCTCCTAGATCCAGAGCCACCAGCGAGGGGTGGATGGAGAGAGCAGGGTTGAGGAGGGCCAAGCCTGCATCTGTCAGGGGACTCCCATGGAGGCTGCACAGGTAAAAGGGAAAATTACTATGGAGCCTTCGTCCTGGGGGCTAACTAACCTTGATGGGGAAGGAGAAGCAGACGAAATGAGGAGGATGATAAATGTTAACCTCACGTGGGGAAAAATCGCTGGGAAGCCTCAGCCGCTACGGTGTCTCCCCTGGGGTGTGCAGGGGATGCCAGCGGGGCAGGGGCAGCTCCACCAGCGGGCCAACCAGGCTGGAGGGGCTCAGACTGAGAGCCAGGGCCGTGCCCAGCCGGCGGGGCAGAGGCAGCTCCCTCCCAGGCGGGTGAAGGGCAAGGGGTTACAGCGTCAAGGGCATTTTTCCTCCGACAAGACTTAAATTCAGGGGCCAGCCCGGAGCTGCAA